GATGCCTACTTTGACAATTCAGGCCCAAGAGCTCCCTGGGGTAAGGACAAGATTTTGCTAATTTCCAGGGACCACTAGATCAGTGGGTGATCAAATACAGCTGTTAACCTCTGACAAAGCTGAGAAGCAGGCAGAGGGCAGCAGCATCCGGTTCAGTCCAAAAAAGAAAAAAAAAAAAACCACCAAAAAAATAACCCAAACCAAACAAAAAACCACCAAACAAAAAAACCCTCTACCCAAGGGAGTCCTCAAAATCAGAGAGGAGCCCTGCTGCAGCATCAGGAGTTTCCTTCCCCTGCCCCTCATCCAGGCTTCTCCGTCTGAGCTAAAGCCAATTTATTTTTTATCCAGGCTTTTTATCCTGGTTTAAACCCATGATAAATGATATTTTTAACTCACCTCACTATAGCGAGGAGTTGGCTGGTTGGCACCAGCTTGCAAGGGAAGAAGAGGGAGGAGGTCCTGGACTTGCCAGGGCGCTTGCGACGGGGGAGCAGGATCTCTGGTTAAGATAACCTCACCGTTGAGCTCAAGCCTGTGCTCTGCTACTAGTTTCTTGCGCAATCCTGGACAAGTCATTTAGGGCAGGAGTTCACAGGAAAGCTCCAGCCAACCAACAACTCCCTGCTCATGGTTTCTTTTTTCCCAGGATGGGTTTCAGGAACTGATTCAGCTCCTGAAAGGGACAGATCACCACCGGGACTAAGGTAACAAAACCAGCAGAAATACACTGCCAGGAGCAGGGGCCTGCTCCTTTTGCCAGCTAGAACTCATTTATTCTTTGTTTAATCATTTTAGGATTCATCTTTACAGTTTTTGAAGCGGCACTTCCCACTTTCATGCTTGACCTTTTGTATTTGTCTTACTTCTCACTAGCGGGAAGGTCTCCCAGGCACCTGAACAGTGACTTGCAGTCCTCAGACAAGAGATCAGGGGTTGAAGATGAGCAACGATGAGGAATGTTTCTCAGAGGAAGGAGAGGATGGGCACCCAGGGCAAAGCAGTGCATCTCCCCAGCACGGGACCCCAGAAACACCCCACATAAAATAGCTGCACAGTGAGGAAAAAAAGAGCCGTTTGCGGAAGTTAAGGCAACAGGAAGGCTGGGTCGGGGCAGTGCTGACACAACAGCTCTCGCAAATCCCACTCAAAGTCTGTTTTTAAAAGGAGGCAGCTGCTACCAGCTGCAAAATGAGACCTAGATGGTGGCCAAGTAACAGAGGACACTGCTGCCTCTTGGGAACACGCCAAAATCATCAGTCTGTTTTTAGCTGTATCTACAGCAGCAAATGGCAGAGACAGCAGGAGCAGATCTGCCAAGTGAAACCATACCCAACAGCAATACAGCGTGTTTTCCAGGGGGCCCTTCAAACTAACTCCAGCCAGGTCCCAAAGTCCCAAACTCCATTCGCTGTTTGGAGGACAATATCTCATTTCAATTTTACCTAGTACAAACCCAGCTAGCACACTCCAAAAACACCGAGATGTGAAACAGAGCACAACATGTATGGGTAACTTGGAGATTTGCACATCAGTCTGACCTAACAATAAAGTAGCTGCACTTTGACAAACCTGCCTTGTGGGAGCCCCCTAAGGAAGGAAGGGCAGACAGACATAACCCAAGCAGGGGCAGTAAACACTGCTTGAAAAACCTTTTGGGCAAGGGGCAGCATTTGCCCAGTGGTGCACGATAGTTTGGTCAATGCCATGGAACAAACTGGTGAAGAGCCTGGGAGACTCGGTGGTGCTGGTAAAGATGCAGTTGCTCAAAAAAAGCTCTTCTCCCAGAGGCCTTATCAAACGTGCCCATCTTTCCTCACAAGATACCCTACACTGGTTTTAATAAGGGCCACACCTAGGTAAGCATAATGCACAATGCTGACAGCAAGAACTAGCACATCGCTGGGAAAGAGAGGGAGGAGAGGAGTATTCTTACATGGCTGAGCAAATGCACTCCCTCCTGGGAAAGCTGCAGAGCTCAGCCTGTCTCACTGATCTCCCAAGCGCTCAAGAAAAGACAACCCTGTTGGTCAGCAGCACTGTTTCTCCCATCACAGGGAAACGGACACGGGACAGCAAAAAAAAAGCCCATGTCTCCAATGTGTTCCTGATGGCACAGCACAGCTTGGAGAGAAAAAACAGCCACCAGTTCAACACAATCTTAGCACCAGTCTCAGTTACAGCAGTCATGCAGGGACCACGCCTGCACCAGGAGCTGCAGAAACAGCAGGGTTAGTCAGAGCAGCTTATACACAGTGGGAAATTTCCACCTATTAACTACACCAGCAAAGGAGGGACTGAGCACATGGGTGTGCTTGAAGTTATCTCCTGCTCAGGAAAGCAACTGCTGCCCTGGAGCACTCTTCCCACCAGTAATCAACCCGGGAGTCCAACCTCCTGGTTTGGATTTCTCATGCAAGTATGCCCCTTCCAAGAGAAGCAGGACTTTTCTCCACATTAAGTACTTGCCTATTTAGCTGATAGTCCCCAATTTCCATATTTCAACTCTGTTGACAACAGCACAGTGGGAAAACAAACTGATTCATGCTATTTGTCACCATGGCATACATGTGTTTACCCGATACAGCCAAACTGGTCAGACTGTGTGCATGCTCCCACCCCCTCCCTAACCCTCTACACCAGATCTGCTCTCCTACCTCCTCCCTTGCAGTCATTTTGGAATCAGCTTGACCACAAAAAAAAGAAACAGGCAGTAGAGTCCACTAATTCAGCAAGAAAGTATCCTGCAAGATGTTATATTTCCATGCAATTAGTGAATGTAATTGTCTCCCTGTACAGCTTAATGGAGCTAATGTGAAGGATGGAGTGGGAACACGCAGCCGAGGCAGGGAATGGGGACGGTCACTGCTTCAGAGACAACAAGCAGCTGACAGAGACACAGAGCCACTTCTTTGAAGTGGTCAACAGAAGCAAGAGCTCTGCTCACTACCTGCTTTTAAGCAAAACTAATTTGGTGTTAGGAACTAGAGATTCACATGAGATCCAACCAAAACCCAGCAATCACTAACCTAGTCCTTGTGCAGGGTAAGTGGCTGTTTAATAGAAGAGTTACACAAATAACCCAAAGATTTCATTAAGAGATTGCTATGCATCCCAGCTATTAAAACAACAAGCTGCTCTTCAGTTTCCATGCAGCCTCCAGTCCCTGAAGCAGTTTTAATACGATTCTTAGATGCTCTATCAGACATTTTGGCCCCTTACAAGAGCCACCATTAACACATGGGGTAGCCAGCCCAGACCTCATGTACTCTTTGTGCTAGTTAGCCACTACAGGTACCTCAAGAATCCTCACAGGCAAGAAGGAAGACAATACTGAGTTGCAGGTGCATCTTCCAACAGGCAAGTCCTCTGCTGTAAAAGCAGTAACATGAGGCAATCCCAGTTCATACCACACACTAGGCTGCAACACTAGTATCAAGGGAAGTGCCAAGTATTCCCACCTGCCTCCAAGACCTTTGCTTCCAAACCTGCTAGCTGAAACCAGTGGTCCCAGAAGGGGAAGAAAGTGGTGGGTTTGCCTGCTTTTGCCCCTGTTTTGCATGCCTTCACACAGGAAGGGAGACAGTCACCAAGGAGTTCTTATGGGAAGCACATATAACCTGGCAACACAGAGAACATCTCGCAGAGCTTGAGAAAGACCTTGCTACTGAGCTCCAGAATAAAAAAAGGCACAGTGTAAAAAAGCCCACGAGCGAAGCTGTTTGAGCTTGTTTAACAAACTCCAGCATCTTGTCCTCTCTCTGGACTGGGACAGCTATGTCCTAGCAGAGTCACACAGCTATCAGACAGACTTTCACAAAGCTAATGCAACACAGAGAGGAAAGAAGTAGCACCGCTCTTTGAAAAGGATGTTTTTCGATCATCCAGCACGTCCAGGATTCCCTCCAGAGCCAAGTTTAACCTCGTGGCACCGATTTAACAGACTAGACCTCTCGCTTAGCCAAATGGACCTGCATGAAAGATCACTGCCAGAAAACATATGCAGAGGGACCAGATAGCAACCCCCATGTAAGGATGCATCCAAGACAGAAAAAGCTTGACTGGGTAACCCTGCTACTTAAAGCAGAAGTCCTACAGGGTTCTCCTTCCACTTCAGAGGCAGTTTCCTGCCTGACTTCATGCAGGCTCTACCTTGGTCACCAGTCTTGCTTCTGGCTTTAGACATACAAATTAGGTTTAGCTCTTAGAAGGTGCAGAAGCCCACTTCAGTCTGCTGTAAGCACACAGAGCAGCCACCAGCAGCACTTTCAACTGGGAGCCCCAGACCTACAGCCAGGCCTCCCCACAGAAGACAGCAATTAAAAACTGAACTGCAAGTTTGATCAGTAGCACTAATCGCTATGAAAAGTGAAAACACACATTTTACGCTAAGCTTTCAGATTACAGCACCCACAAGTCAACTTCTTAAAATAAAAGTGACCTTTAATGAGGCTCTCAGAACATGCTTTAATAATTATTACAAATTATGCATCAACAGTGTAAGACTTCACCATTTCTTTGGAGAATAAAAAAAAAAGGTGTAATAAATCCTGTGTGGTTTTGGGAGGGAGATAAGCATGATGTTATTTGTCCCTTTAGAGGATTTGGTAACTGCCCATGAACAGGGAACATCAGGGAACCTCCAGAAAGACCAGCTTCTTGACAGAAGAGGTGCAAAAGTCCAATAAGCCCCAAAAGCTGACTTTTAATATTTGGGAACATGCACAATGACAAGTATTCCCTTGGTTAAGCACCACCGCGCCTCTCTTCAGAGTTGGGTATGACAGCAAAGACTCTGCATCAAAGACCAGAGCAGTCTTGACAGAACTGAGGCCAGCAGCAGAGACGACGGAAGACATGAACTGACAGGATTAAGCATTAAGGAAAGACCCAAACTAACTTACAAAGAGGAGAGTGGGGCTCGCAAGGGATGAAAGCCATATTTACAAGTTCTTCACACTCAAGAGAAAGGCAAGGGAAATAACTACCCTCAGGCAGGCTTGTGAAGATACTTTATGTTTAATACATCTGAAAAGAATGCATATACAAAGAACTTAGACATGAAAAAGCATTGGTTCAACACTAATGAGTCTACAAGAAATCGGAATTTTGGAAGATGGTGAAGATTCCCTAAATCTTAAAAAAAACTTTGAATTTGCAAGCCAAAATATATTTTTGGTAAAATCCCTACAACACTGCAGTGAGTCTACGTAAAGACCCTGCACACAATCCTCAGCGGGCTGGAACCCATCTTACAGGTTCAGGATTACTTACGAGCACAACGCAGAAAAAGGGGATTCCCTTAACTGGTCCCTATACGGTGCCAAACTACACACTAGAAACCCCTCCCCGCACATCCTTCCTCCTGACACAGGTCTATCTTTCCACCCCTCCCTGAAGGATGCTAAGCCATCCTGTAAAAGATGCACCACCAGGGCCAGCTCCAAAACTCATCTTAACATACACCAGGTCCTTTCAGAGTGTCCACACAGCAGTGTATATGCTAGTCATTGTAAGTGTTTCTCTAATAATTAAGGATCGGCAGAAGATGGATTCGTTAAAAGCCAACTGAATCAGTTGGGCATGCTTTAAAAGGTGCAGTTATTTCTTCATCACATGACAAAAGCTTCTCATGTCAAACACTAAGGAAGAGACTGGCAAGCTAGTTTCAAGTCTGATGGTGCATCCAGAGAAAGGATTCTCCTATCCCTAAGGCTTCATAATTTAGAGGATGGGGTAGAAATTTATGACCTGCACAGTGGAAAGCCAGGGGAAGAGATACAGGGCAACTTCAGAGGAGATGCAGATGCATTTTCTACACTCCTCCTTGGAGGAGCACCAGCTTGGGACATTTTACTTTCCTGTATTTGTCTTTAGTACTAAATTCTGCTCACACCCAGGCTGCTGGCTGGCTGCAGAACAGCCCTAGAAGTTATTGAAACCAGAACCAAGTCTCGCCAGACTGGCATAAGGGACAAGGCTTCAGTAAACAGCCTAGAATTAGTCTGTTACAGAAAAAGTCATCACAAGCATGCCTGGATTTTAAACAAAAAAAAATTAGAAACAGTAAACAAAATAAAAAACTAGTACTGATCAGTGTTTTCTGATAATACATAATTACTCAAAATTAACTAGTTTAACTGAATTGAGGGGGCACTGGGGAATAAACACTAACATTCTCATCTCACACAGGGATCGTGTGGGGGAGATGGGAGTGCAGGGCATTTGTCATTATTGCAAAAACAAATTTTAAAATTTGTATCTTTAGTTTGATTTAAACATTGCTTTTAGTATGACATCAAACACCAGCTTTGCAGAAGGGGCTCTGGAGGGACGTTCATAGCAGCACACACCTGCGAGTCTTCTTCGGCTCCGGAGGCTCCAGGGCAGCCAATATCGCTTCGTCAAATACATTCTTTAGGCCTTTCTGAAAAGGGGCAAAGAGAGAAAGGGGCAGTCTCATTTTTGAGTTTTCACACAAACAAAACCACAGAAAGCTAAGCGGCAGACAAACCCCTCTAATGACGAATCGAGGTTTGCCATCTACCACTCCGAGTCTCCTTTACTCAGCTCGGCTCTGTCCAAGCTGCAGCGCTGCGGTGTGCAGTTCCTTAGCAGAGCATCTGATTTTCCAAACAGGAACGCGAATCCTTTGAGACTAGACCAGTATACTTCACAAGAAGCAACACACAGGTACCGAAGTCATTTCCTTAAGGCAATTTTTATGATTAGTTGGCTACTAACACGTTTCACATGCTAATGACAAAGCAGAAAGTGTTGCATTCAAACAGAAGAGCTTGATCGGGAGCACGCCGGATACAGCAGCGCAGACACCCGTGTGTCAGGGAAGAGAAGAGACAAGGCAAGCATGCAACAATAAATCGGTCCGGTACACACTCTGGTCAGGCTGCCGGCCCCGAAAACACCCGACAGTTAGAAGCAGCCAGGTAGAGCCCAGAAGCTGTGCATGGTATCAGAGAAGTCAAGATGGGAGAAGTACAAAGCGGGTACTGTACATCGCGTTAAGTGTTAAACTGAAGCCAGGAAGTGCAAATCGGAATAAAGCTTCATCAGTCATTTATACAAACAACTGCAATTTTTAATTCCAAAATTTAAAGACAAGCTACAATTGATGTTTTCTCCTTAAAACAATAAAAATCAGAAGCATGAGAGTAAGAAGCAGCTTTACATCTTACAGTAACAGGCTTTAAGGATCTATTATTGAAATGAAGGTCTACCATGTTAGTGAAAGCAAGAATTTTAACAGTTCATAAAGCAGTAGCAAGTACATTGATATTTCCTTCCCCCCAAGGACCGACAAATACTCCACTACAGCACAGACAGCCAAAGCAACAGCAACAGAAAAACATCTCACTGCACAAAGGAGAACCAGAAAACCCTTCACATTACAGCGTAACTTGCAGATCACCGTTTCATGTACTTTTGTCATGCAAATACAGTTAACAAGAGTCACAAGTAGAAATTGAAAAAAAAACCCCACACATCGTTTCTTCCAGTTGGATTCAGGAAGATCAAACATCATGTCTTATTCTTTTGATCGTTCTTTAAATAATGATATAACCACATCCTTTCCCCCAACAGCCTGAATTAGAAAGCTACCCACATCTGGCAACCCAAGCAGCAGAGAGTTAAGCGAGTCCAGTTCATGTTCCACAGTCACAGCGTTTTACTAAAGATCTTAAATATTGTTTTCAGTCCAAGAGCTAATACAGAGGTTGCTCTAAGATGGTAAGCAGACACAACAGCTTTCAATCAAGGTGGTTTTATTCGTTTTTTTTTAACCAGGTTTCTACAGTAGTGGGACAGAGGAAGCAGCAGCAAGAGGGGAAGGAGAAAGTTTAGAATATACAGCACTTCCTTTTGGGCTGAGTTTCCGGAGGCTCGAGGGCAGCTAGGATAGCCTCATCAAACACATTCTTCAGACCTCTCTACAAGACAGAGGGGAGGAGAAAAAACAGCAGCCAGGTTAGAGGATTAGAGAAAAACAAGCAGATACAAAGAGCATTCAGGATAGACCAGGCTGAATTCACAGAGGCAGTAAACAGATTTACTTTGCAAAAAACAAAGTAGATCCCAGGAGGAAATCTCATTTAGATGACCCAGAAGTCAATGTCAGAGGCAGACAGAACATGTGACAGACCAAGTCAGACAAAATGAACACCCAGAAGGGCAGAGGCACAAACACAGCAGCAATTGGCAAGAACACAGGGGTGGGAGGGGCTGCACAAAAGATGGTGGTTTCCATTTCACTGCTGAATATACACTTACAGAGTTCACAGGGGAATAAACACAGTGGAGAGCAGCTTGCCCCACCACAGGGATCCAGAAGGTCAGGTAAACCATTTTTAGTCACCCACTGTGGGTAAGCAAGCACATTCGATGCACGGGCTCACTGCTCCCAACTAGCCTAGCAGCAGCTAGTCCAGACCAAAGGCTCCAAATGTCTCCTCTGCTTTGTGAATTCAGCCTCTGAATAACTGAAGATCTCCAGACAACTGGGAAAACAGGATCTGGGATCGGAGCAGCACCTCTCTGGTAAGCCATCGTCATCTGCAGACACTGGCTATCAGCCTTCTAAGAAGCGATGCAATACCTTACCAGGGCTGCTATTTCCACATTGAGAGCCAGCATGGAAACAGCGCATTTCAGTTATTCGGTTTAGTTACCAAAGCAAGTATAACCACTCAAATCACGGGAAGACAGAAACAGTGTTAAGGATTGGAATAACCGAGATGCAACACCAGACAAGCAGTCACAGAGCTGCAAGGAGTCTGCAGGGATTACACCGGAGCACGAAGCGCGCGCTGCGTTTGCTGTAAGCGCAACAGGAGCACCGCAGTGTGTTACCGCTCCCACACAACGCTGCCAAGTCACACGTGAACACCAGAAGTGAAACCTGGCTCAGGTTATGCTAACTGGACTCGCCTAAATCTACTGTCATGAGTGCAACCTTCGTAAATTCAGAACTGCTTTATCCCAGCCAAAGACAGAAAAGCTTAAATTACTTCCTGTAAACAATTGTAGTCTTCGCAAAATAAAGATTATTGTTTTTTTAAATCATTCAAATGTAACTGGTTTCTCCCGCACAGGTTAGACTGGATATCTCTCTTTTGGAAGGTCTTTAATCTTGTTTTACCAAGGCACATAAATGGGAGATTTCTAAGGCAATTCCATCTGGAAGCACTTAACTCCATCATGTTACATACAAGATTATACTTGAAAAAAACAGAAGTTAAGGAAATTACCACATACAATCATTTTGTACATCCTCTCGGGCAACTTTTTTTTTTTTTTTTCTAATGAGTTGCAACCCAGGCTGACAAAAGAGCTGGAGACTTCAGATAAATAATGCCTATGTGAAGTCTGAGTACTAATTAGATTTTCTTTCTCTGTGAGAATAAGACTGTAGTATAAACTCAATTATGTACTGTTAGATAGATTAAGAACCCAGGCAGGGTCTTAGGGTCAAGAAAACATGCTTCCTTAACTCTCCTAGTCGGGGACTCCTCCTTTGTTTTCCCATTGCACAGGAAAAATTAATTTAAGGGAACAGAATTTGGGATTGGTTTTGAAGGGGTTAGCAAAAAATTCGGATAAAGAAAGAGGGGAAAAAAAAAAACCACACACACAGAGGACAGGGACAAAACTGTTGTGAAAAATGGGACTGGGGTTAAAAGCCTGGATGGTACAAGAGTAACCACCTGAAGGGAACTGTGTTCAATACCACCAGCACACAGACCTCGACACTCCGGTTCAAGTAACACCGCTCCTGTGCTGCCCTGGAGAACAGGCTGAGCTCAGGCTCCCTTCACATCCTCCATTCATTTAAGACACATCATAAATCCGTGTCAAAACTGTCAACCCAGCATCAGGGTGAAAAAGGAACAGAATTCAAAGTTCTCCCTTTTGTTAGGTACCAGGATTGAGCTTCACAAAGGTGACTCAGACACTGAACTCCCTAAGTGTAAAAGAAGCAACAACCATTTCAGTTGTAATCCCTTTATCGCTCACCTTTTCCTAATAGCAAAGCATTACCCGCTTTTTACAGTGGTATTGGGTACTATTTTGAAGAGACAAGTTGAAGACAGACATTGAAAATGCCTTCATCACAAAAAGGGATTCCACCACCTGAGGAAAGGGCAGATAGAACCGACTTCTCAGCACCGCAGAGTCATCCAGACTCAGGCAAGAGATATTCTGTCTTTACAGAAGAGATTCAGAAACTCAGCCCCTTACGACTCACTAGTACTTTCAGAACATTGCCTCTTCCACAGACAAGCAAATTCTTCCTCCCAGGAAAACAAACATGCTCTGGCTCCATGATTTTGTGATTACTTGCTACTGTGGTGTCAAAGTCATTTGCAAATTAGTTTAGAAGGAAAAAAAAACAACACCCTGGACAGCTGAAGTGAACTGTGTAGACTGAAGCCAAGGTAAAGAGAGAGTGAACTACCCAGCTTAGTCTAGCTTCGGTTGAAACCAGCTACTATAACATTGCCTTGCAGGTAGGAAAACAACCCTCCCGGCTAGGAAAGCCAGCCGACTTCTGTGTTTAGCAAGCTGCCAGCTAGATCACTGCCAGGAACTTCGAACAACCCTTTGCAGACAATCTACACTTCTGTTTGGCAGCTATTATTGACTGACTGAGAATTAAGCACTTTGTGAGGGGAGTCAAAAACAAATGAAGTAAGAACAGAGCAGATGCAAACCGACTAGTCTTCCAGGTGAGAAGGCTTCTGAACCTTCCTCCCACGTTACTCTTGATTCTTAAAACCACCAATGGGTACAAAAGCACTAGTGCTCTGGAAGAAATTCAGGCTGAGCTTCCAAGTGCATAAAGCTGTTCTCTGCAACAGATACAGTTTATCCTATCTGGAAATAAAAAGAATGAATAAACACTGAAATTTTTAATCATATCAACTCTTACTCTGGTAATTTTAAGTGCTTCCATGCAATTTGAGCAGACTAAACAAGGCGAGTTTAAAGCTACAGAGGAAAGGGTCTTAGTGAGCAATACAGGACAAAAAGTCCTGGTATGTCTTTATCCAACTAGCAGGTTCTACAGCCTAGTTCGCAGCAGAAGTCTGGCACATCCTGAAGCCATCTAAAACAGTATTTCAGGACTGAACGGATCTAAGAGAATTAGCTCAAGCACAAATAACCCTCAGCTTGCATGTGGGCAGTAAAGAAGCACAGCCAAGACCAACTTTTGATCAAGGATTGCCCAGATGAACTGCACTGCACTGCGCCTCACCACACCACCTCCAGTGCCAGTGTCCCGCGCAATTCCATCAAAAGCCTCTTTCTTGTCAGCAAACACTCAGGCAAAGCTTTGTTAAAAAGAAAAAAGGAGTCTCAGGATCCCAACTGGAAGAGGCAACCTGCAATCTGGGCAAAAAGGTGCAAGATAAGCAAAACTTCAGGTTTCGTGAAGTTTAGCAATAAAGCTTTGTGCTTAAGATACTACAGATGAATGCACAACAAAACTGAGAAGAGCGAAGGACTTGAAACTCTGCACTTCTAGTTCCATGCACATCAGGTAGGGACAAATTCTTTACAGAGCAGTGTTAAAGAGTTGTAGTCAATTCTGCAAGAGTAGACACGCAAAATTAAGTTCCTAGGGCATCCAAAGTCAAGGCAACCAGCCAGCTAGCCAGCCAATGGCTCTCATCCTCTCCCCCTAGTATTCCTACCTTAAAGGGAAAGGATAATCAGGTTTCCTGGCCTTAAAACAGCTATTTAAGTTGGCTTTAGACTCATGTTCACAAGTTAATTCACACAGCATCATCATGTTTATATATTAAGAACCATTTCATTGTTATTTTCTGTTTCAACAGAACTTTCACCTCATGGCAGACACAGGAAACATAGCTCACCACCAACTGCACAGGAAGAGAAAGAAGTTCTCACAAGTATGAAGGCTTCTAGTCTTAGAAGTACCAGAACTGACTTTTCTGAAAGGTTTTTTTTCTTTGCCTCTCCTTCAGTAGTGAGCTGCATTCTGTGTCCTAACCCACTTATTGCCCATAACACACCTTCTAGGTTTTCAATAGCTATTTTCCTCCAACACAAAAGCAAACAGTGAGCACATCCTCCTCCATCACCCCTCTGCACTACACCTAATCTTCACAGGCTGACTTTCTTTGTACCGCTGCCAACTCCTTGTGCTTTAGAACAAGAGGACAAAGAGAAAGCCACCGTGTCAACAGCAGAAACAGATCTTATGCCCTTTCACATCCATATGGAGCTGGTTTTCCCCATAACTGAAAAAAGTATAGAATATAAGCAAGCAAAAATGGTCAAAGACCAACTCTCACCTGCGTAAGTGCAGAGCATTCCACATATTTGACAGCCTTCAGGTCCCGGGCCAGTTTTTCAGCCGTCTCTGGAGTTATGGGCTTCTGCTTGTTCTTGGCAAGTTTCTCAATTGTTGAGGGATCATCTCTTAGATCAATCTGGGTCCCAACAAGCAGGAAAGGAGTCTTTGGACAGTGGTGAGTAATTTCAGGTACCCACTAAAGACAGAGAAGACAATGTTTGTTACTAACCACCTAAGATAACTCCTGACCTATTTCCAAAAATCACTATAGCAGTAGCTCCCTTTTTAGGCAGAGTTCAACCAACCTTTTCTTTCACATTTTCAAATGAAGAAGGAGACACCACTGAAAAACAGACCAGAAATACATCTGTCTGTGGATAGCTGAGTGGTCGTAATCTATCATAGTCTTCCTGACCTAGAAGAGGTGAAAATTAACACAGTATTAGACCCAGACAACAGAACACTGCCCTTTACAGGTAGTTCGAAGGCATATCCCAGCACAATAGCATTACTGTGATTAATCCTAACTCTTAAGCAAATACACATGCCCTGAACCCAAACATTCAAAGATCCTATTTTCAAATTCAGAATTCATTCAGTTGCTATGTAACAATGAGCTGCTTAAAGTCACAGGAGAGCTGGGAAGTCTGATAGGAGTACGCTCTAGTAAATTTTTAGAACAAACAGGCTCAGACTGCATAAAGCTTTCCTCAATTATAACAAAAAGTTGCAGAACATGGATCTGGTTATAAATGAGGTCTTCTGCACCTAGTACATTCATTAAAAGTATTACGCCATCAAATTTCATCACCCTGCAAAAAACCCTGCAGTTGGGGGGGGAGGAAGCAGTTATGTTCACTAGAACGTTCTGACCTATGCTTGCAAACACTTAATGAAGTGTCCTCCAAGCAGCAAGAGAAGAATGCTGCTAGTATAGGTAAGTGTGTTCAGGCCGTCCAGCAGCATTCCCCTAAAAATGCAAAGTCCCAGCACTGGCTGAGCTTCAGAGGAAGCCAGGTTCTTCCCTGTGGGTTGGTAAGAGCTGGCAGTCCCTGCAGGCCACCACTAGCACTGACCCACCAGCCCAACTCTGCCCAAGCTCATTCTTAAACTTCCTCCTGCTTCATTCAGTAGCACTGTGCTTTTAGAAAGCAAACCTGGCACTAAAGGAGCTGCTGTACTCACTGGCAACCAAATCAGAAACACTTGTTCAAAAAGCTTCATATTTCAACTGATGCTCTCTCACCTACCATACAGGACAAAGACCTTTGAGATCTTGAAGGAGATGACTCAACACCTGGGACATCTCAGTAGAGGAAGATCTACAGTTTGAAGACAGAGGCCTAAATAGCTTGTTACAGCTGTCATGCTTGGCTGGACACAGAGGAGCTAAGCACTGACCAAAACATCTTGCTGTTTTGAACTTGTACTATGAAGCAAAGATTTTTTTTTTTTTTTAATTTGACAGTAATAGGAGTTTTATCAATTGTTAAGTTCTGTAACTTGTGCCGGCTACTATTTAGCAAAAAGCAGGTGACCTTTAAAGAACAAAAGCTTCCCACTTCAGCAGCCCAGCTCCAAAAGGAAAGCCTTTATATTCACAAGTGCTTGAAGAAAGCCATCCGTTAAGTTTTCAGAATTACTAGATGGATTGCTGCACTCATGTTGACAGACAGTCCATGGATATGCATATCTACAGGTGCAACAATTTACAGAGGCCCAAACCCACAGGACCTCAGAGGCAAACGGGGCAGAGAAGGACCTAACACAGCTTTTACCCGTGCAGGTACCACAGTGCTATAGTTGACACCCATTTAAGTACCAGTCCCTGCAGCAGCATACACAACGTGGCAGGAAGGAGCCTCTCGTCTCTACTAAGCTCCTTATCCATGAACTAGGCAGTCTGCAGTAACTAACACACAAATCGCATTTAGGTGAAGAATGTGAAGAGCTAATTGAAGCTATAGCATTTAATTGGAAGCATAAGATCATTTCATTAATCGAGTAAGAGACTAATGATGCATCTGTAAGAATATATCTGGAAACAGTCAGATTAAGTTCTACGAAGCCAATTTTAAGTAACAGTTCGTCAACTAAGCTCTCTGGAAGGACTCTCATGAAGGAGAGTTTACAATACCAGGTACTACCATACCACTTTAGTATTATTACAAGTTGGGGACTGGGTAACTAGCAATCAAACAGTTTCTGCCCTTTCTTGCTAAATTTTCACATGTGCAAAGCAACATGTGTAGTTGTTTAATCATTGCACACTTCTCCAGCAGAAATTGAGATACAGTCCAATAACCATAAACAAAGAAGCCTGCAGATTTACTTTTAATTTTAAAAAAACCCACCGTGAGCGGGTTTATGAAACTCCACACAACATCCTGATTTCATCCATATTAAGAATGCAGACATATGCCACATGCACATCTAAGGTGTTCTAATGTTAGGCATTCTGTCTTGACATCTGGTCAAAATCGGCTATTTACTAAACAAAAGCCACACACAACACAATGTGTTGTATTTTATTCAACACAATTGTCTCCTTTAATTTTGTTTAAAAACATGGAAACCCCTTATCTTTCAGGTATCCCCTAGATTAGAGGTCAAAGTTTGAAACTTGTCATCTGGTGTCACAAAATAAAACAGCTCTAAAGGAAGTGGAAGGTTGTCTTGGTTTGGTTTGGTTTTGGGTTTTTTTGGTTTTGGTTTTAAATAAACTCAATTTAACAACTCACCAAAGGTCAGGAAAGAACAGTTAATAAAGATTTTGCTCTTTCATAAAAAAAAAAAACCCACACAAAAACACCTGTACGTCTTCATGTTCATATCATCTCAACCAAATCCGGTGTAGTTACAATGACACAGACACTTGATTTCTCACCTGCAGTATCAAAGAGGCCTAGGGTGTAAGGCTCTCCTCCAATCATCACTGTTACAGCATAGTTATCAAAAACCTGGTAAGAAAAAAAATAAAAGCACATTTAAGAGGATGTGAATAAGCCATCTTTCAAATCATGTCCTACTCACCTTGCCAGACCACCTCTGATTTGTACAAGAGTCATCTGCACAGGGTAACAGAGGCCATTAGACTTACAATGCTGTTACCACCATTATGGCTGTTAACAGGACAATTCAATTTGGAATAGGGATGCAAGAGCTGTTTCCACGAGGGATCTCAAGCCCAGGCACACCAGGTACACCACTGCATAGAACAGGGTAAAAGCCACTGAGCAAAACACCTGCAACAGCTCTAGCCTGTAATTGTAGAGGTTTCCCACATTGCCACAGAAATTTCAACCTTCACACTTGGTCTGACCCAGTAAGCACATCCCCACACAGGCAGAACTGATAAACTTCAGCCCTGCCCTTCAGGGCACAGAGCTATGGGGCTGCTTCTCACAGGACCGAGTCTCCTCTGAAGTCCGTCTTTCTGACCATCCAGGGAATTCAATGCAGACTCCATCTCTTCAACAGGAATTTATCCTCCATCTTTGGAGGAAGCAATATAGTTCATCGAAATCAGTCTGTGCCAAATTCACTCTCAATCTAGATGGAAAATCCAGCTCCAGAAGATCAAGTATTGTCTCTGTACAGAATCTGGCACAACGGTACTGCGCTCTAGGGCAGACCTGCTACACAAGGTAGCCAACACGACCAAAAAAATGCTTCCCCCAGTAACTTGTTTACAACACAACTGAGCATGAGGACCTACCCAAAGCCTTCTCCTTCAACACCCACATACTCAGCATTAAGGAGTCAGTACCCTTAATTTCAATAACCACTTTATCTTCAGAACCGCAACAGACCGTATTTCAGAAAGTGCCTTTGGCAAGAAAATCCTTCCCACTAAAAAAAAAACCAAACAAAAAACAAACCAACAGCCTGTCCCTGCAGACTGTGCTGCAAGGTTACTCGCAGACAGTCGAGATCTCTGAAAGAATAGGGAAGCTCTGCTTCAAAGTAAATCTGAAGTCTGAGCAGCTCCCACAGCTGAAGTAAACCACACCATTAAAGAGGCCAGCAGTCATCTCAAAAGCTTTTCATGGAAGTGAGGAGGGAGGGACACGGAGAAATAAGCAGTCACATGCATCTATTAACAGGGTTTTAGTAAGAGCTTAGGTCCTTGAGAAAATCCCACTAAAAAATGAGATAAGACCAGCAAGACAGCACTTGGAAGCTGAACTTCCAAGGGTTCAGATCCTTCTCCTTTCCCCCTGACTGCCCTGGTTAAAGCAATACCTGACACCACACATTTTTTCCACTTTTCACAACTCACAGCGACTGAGATAGCAGCTATGGCCACAGCATGCTGCACATCCCCAGGAATGTCAGCTAGAAGCAGAAGTCACCTGTCATTCTCTTTTGAATTAGCATTCAAGATTTTAAAGTACTGCAAGAGATTAAAACATTCATCTCCATTACCTGCAGCCCAACCCTTCACACATCGCACTGAGTTTGCCTTACTGAACGAACACTCCAGAAAGTGTCCAGCTACAAATAAGACCTTCAAGGCTGGAGGAGGGTGGAAGGCATTTCACACAGCACATTCGATATGCCACAACTACTACTTCAAGAGTCCAAAGGACAGGTCAGGATGAGAACTCATCTATTGCTAGGTACAGAACAAGAAACTGGAATACTCTACGCTGAAGGTCAGAGCATTTACTCTTTCAGATGTCAAAAGATGGTCGGCAGCTTAATCCCCCAAAGACATGCCCTCATTTTTGCCCAGTGAACAGCAAGTTGATACCACCACTTGCGGCTGCCCCTTAAGGGGATTAGCATGCATTTTCCCCTCACTATTTTTTGGTGAGTTTTTTGTGGGCTTAAGCTCCCTAAGTGCAAAATGGAATTTTTTATTTTTTAAGGTACAGCCACTATTGAAAAAGTCTGGGGTTCAGCTCTAAGGAGGCCACGGTTACAAGGCTAGCCTTCAGACAAATCTGGCAACTGCAGGCTCATCGCATAACCCACAGACAACTTCATCTTCAGTTGTGCCACAGGCTCAAAATCAGAGCAAAAATTAGCTCAACAAGTTTCAATTCCTGCCAGTGCTAGACAGCCCATTACAGCAGTTGGCATGAGCTTTTGTGTGACAGGACTTGCACATGATTTGCCACTACCCAGACGTTGCCAGTGCCTGTCCACAGACATGCCCTATGCCACCTTTTTTTGAGAACGGCAATGAGATCAAAAATACGCAGGTGACAAACCAGGTGCCGTACCAGCATGAAATCCCATCTCCCACTGAGAAATATCCTCAAAAAAAAAAAAAAGAGAGAAAGAGCTGCAGAACACTGAGCCAAGTGGAAGAAACTGATCTATTAGTCGGAACTGGTGCATTCTCCATGGATGTTCTGGCCACACTGCTGCACAAGCATAGCTACGAAGGGCAACAGCACAGGCAGTTCACAGCAGGCGCTCCCGTGCCTACAGACACGGCATAGCTCCGTTTGAAGTCAGACTGTTACTGATTTGCTAAAGCACCCTACTTTCCACTAATTGCTCTGTGCCCTGCACTGCTGGACACCCTCAAGGTAGAAGGGTGCCACCTTCATCTCAAGGGAGACTTCGTGGCAGCTGCTACAGTTGGATTCCTAGTGTTTGTCGCCACACTGGCCCCGATTTACCAGCTTCTCAAAAATCAGAAATTTATCTCCAGGTTTTTTTTGGTGCTTAAACATTTTTATTAAGCAGTTTTCAGTCCTACCCACTTTATTCTAGGGCCCTTATTCAGCCACACACATTCTGGGAACATTAAAGCTAGTTAACTCTCAGACAGGTTGCTTTCATTTTGGGAACGGTGCAATCTGTTATGTTTCTTTGCTCATTTATTACTAGAAGTATTAACTGGAATATCACAGGTTACTTACCAGTTTCCAGTGTATGAAATATGCCTCCAGGCCACCCACAGAATTAGGAATAGGTCTGTGATATTCCCAGAACAGTGAGTGCCTCAAGCCATGAGGTTCAGTGGTAAATACTATTCCAGAAACACGGGACAGCTTTAAAGGCATTATAAATAAGCCTTAGCACACCTTAAGCACACTTTACTGGCAAGGAACTTTGTTTCTTTGAGTAGCTTTTCCATATTGCTTATTAGCAGGGATTTACAGACAGTACTACCATCTGCAGGACAGCAGACAAACTTGCAAGCCTTAAAAATACACATTTTACAATTATAACATTTTTCAACATAATTAAGGGCCATTTCACTAGGGATAAGTATAGAAACGCTCACTGCCTGAACTCCCTGACCTCTCTCATTTTGTCTTGACCATAAAGAATAGCTTAAATAGGGCAAGCAGACTTCCACAGACGCAGCACAGGATGTGGTTGATCTAGACACATCACAGCAGGATACTTAACACCACTCTCAAAAACTTGAGAATGGCAAAACACAGTTTCAAATGCAACTTCTTCCCTCCCATAATGAGAGGAACTCCATGAGATGAACTTAGGTTTCCATTTCTACAGCACAACACTCAGGTTCCTAACAGCGGTCACTGCATTCAACCTGAAACTCTCAGCTTTGGGAGTCCTTTCATCTTTAGTTCCAGATCTACAACTAAACACAAACATTTTTGTTCTGTGGAAGTCTGTCCTATTCTTAACAAACCTCAAATTTGGTAAGCTGAAGATCTTTGGGTAGTGTACAAAACCAATACCTCAAAAAGAGGCAAAGTTCATTGCAACTTCTTTTCCACAAAGAGAGGATATTTTTATAAAGCAGCATCTATTCTGAAAGAGCTGTCAGGGAAGAGCTACCCTGCATCTCAGAGGAGCTATCTGTTCTTTTAATAATAACAGAAAAGATCATTTACTCTTCCACCAACAGGTATTCAACCTCTTCACAATGCATTTCCAGATCCAAATTTGTCTGAGGCATCTGGATAAACTCTTCAATTTGTACACGTGTAGAAGATGGCGTTTTCAGGTCCATAACAGAGAAAACTAATAAAAAGAGCATCCAGAAGTCAAAGTCTCTTGCAGCAACCTCACTAAAAAACTGAACCACTTCAGTGTCAGCAGGCTGATCTTCATATGCAATATTAAGAAAAAAAGCACTTTTCTATTAGAAAGATAATGCACAGGCAATCAGCAAACCATTCCCAACTTGATCCTTAGATAAGCCAAGGGACTCAGTATCTCAGAAAACTGAGCCTACAAGACTCAAAAAGGTTACTTAGAAACAGTCAAGGACTACACACAAAGATGGCAAGTGTTTGGAAGTACAAATGAATGAGACTGGGCAGTCTAGATCCAAACAGGAATTCAGCTAGGCGTGTGTGAAATAACTAGCCACACTCCATAGTTCACTGCACAACCTCTGCATCTCTCAGAGTTGCAAAGCAGAAATGAGCATCAGAAAATGTTAACTGTAGTCACCAACTATTCTAGCAACATAAAATACTACTTTCCCTAAAAATGAAGATGTGGCAAGAACTGAGAGAGCAAGCGGGGAAAGCAAGCATTCCTACTCCTTGCTCTCCGCTTAGCAGTCCGAACAACTGCAAATAATCTTGGTCACATAATTCTGCTGATGGTGGTCAAACAGAAGCCCAGCTTCTGCGAAGCAGTCAAGCAGCAGGAACTGACCAGATACAGGAAAGGCATCCCAGAACTACCAGGCAGCCGCACTGTACCAAACACACTGATTACTACTCTCCCATGATGTATTACTTAGTCTCCAACAGGAAAGCAGGCTGTAAGAACAAGTATTAAGGCGTGCATGCCACAAAGGAAACTCATGCTGCCCTACCCCACCATGCCCAAAGAACAACCAGAGCCATTCTCACACTTACCGTTGGTACGTATTCCGATGGGAATTTATTTGTTGTGTAAGAAATTAAGAGACAGGTTTTACCAACAGCACCATCACCCACAACTACACACTTGATCGTCTGCATAGCTGAAGTCTACTAGAATATCAACTCCAATGAGAACCTAGAAGGAAAAAAAAAAAAGAAACACATATTTAGATGTTTCTCACTATATAGCAGTACACATCATTGATGAGCTTTGACTGGAGCCCAAACCACTATCAGCACGTATGGGATCTGAAAATGAGAACATTTCGAGATCAGCTGGTAGATCCCTTCTCTCCATCACACACACAAGATAGGAAGCTGCTTATTTTCATAAATGTAAATACCTCCTCCCTACAGCTAGACCCCTTCTCCCACTGCATACAATTGCCAACCACCACCTAAGACACGGTCACTCTTCTACATTGTGAAGGAGGACTAGGTAAATTCAGTGTGCTTTTTTTTTCCTAGTTACTTAGGAAAAAAGTCTTACGGCCTTTCCAGACTGTTTTTAGTGCATGGAAGTACCCAGCAATTAGATGCACCGAAAGTCAACAGCGTAAACTTTGGTCTTGATAGCTGCTGAGAAACATACATGCCTCCCAACAGATCTTCCCTCTGCAGAGCACTTCAGTAAAGAGAGCTCAGCAGAGGGAAGATCTGAAAGAGCTTTGAAACTAGTTTATGGGATAAAAATAAGTAGGTACAGACAGAAATAAACATGATTAATTGCTCCTCCCCCTGCCTTTTTTGCCTTTCTTTTATGTTGTTGTTGGGGGGGTCTTTGTTGGGTTTGGGGTTGGTTTTTTTTTTTTTTTACAGCTCAAGTACAGTTCTACAACCTTTTGGTTAAAGTCACTACTTAACATGTACCTTTATCCCCACTGTGAAGTGGCTAACAGCCCTGAGAAGCTCAGCAGGGCGCCCAGTTCCCAAGGAATCGTATTACTCTCCAGACATTACAAAATCATGATGCACCCAGCTACTTCCACAGCACAGACTTTAGCACACGAGCTAAATCAATATTTGCCATCAATACCTCCTCCAAACATTATTTAGTTACCTCCAGTGCCAGACACAGCTGCCCTTCATTAATATAGTTTTAATTAGAAAAAGTACCAGGCCTCTGGCCATTCATTCACATACAGGTGTGAAATCCTGACACCAGTATACCTAGGGGCAAAGCTCCCACTGACTTTCAACATTTCCATATTATTGGGAGTATTTTTATTTACAACAACAAAGACTTGCAAAGCAAGTTACCCCCTGCCAGGGGGGTGGTGGAGAGGACAAGAAGAGTCATCCACTGCAGCAAGTTTACCCTCAGCACGGTGGCAATGCTTTAGCCTAGGATGGATGTTGCCATGTCTCTCAGTCCTGCGTAACTGCATCAAAAAAAAAAAAAATTGAACCGATCCCTACTGAACTATGCCTTTGGACACTTCCTGGGGATTTCACTTCTCAGAGTGATCTGGAAGAAGTACAACGCAATTCCAAGTTTTTGAGTGTTCTGGTCGTAGCTAGCAACATGATCTGATGATGATGATGGTACAGCACATCCCATCATTACACCTGCAAGGAAAGGCAACTGCTAGCAACTCAAAACAAACCTTATACCACTGGGTTTTCTTCAGATGCTGCAGGGATGCTCAAAGATTTAGACAGCCAGATAACTTCATAACAAACATCCTCAAAAGTTCCTGAAGACAGTACTTGTAGGTGAATACTAATCACCACCGTTCCCACAAGCCAGAGAGAGATCCATAGCAGTCAATTTTAGGAAACGGCAGCAAAGACTCTTCCTTAGAGCAGGACATCAGCCAGCACCTGGTACATCACGCACTCAACACTGCTATCTATACAGCTTCTTTCAACATACACAGAGACGATGAAGGATTTGCATATACATCAAGTGTTATCACTGGTCGTCTACTTGGTGACGTATTTCAATAGGAAAATAATAAAATCTGTTGATTTATGAAGCACGGCTCTGTTTCAGACAGGATGATCAGCAGCACACAGCAAAGCCGTATCAACAGGCCCTTCATTAATACTACAAAAAGCTCTGCAATTTGGCCCTGAAGCAAACACACATTTACTCAGAAGGACAAAGCAATCATTTCTATTTCAAAAGACATAAACAGTTGAGCTAACATGAACAGAGAAAACATCTAAGTAATATTAGTCGATATTGCCTGGTCTGCTAAGGTGCTCACGTACTTCTGCCTTGCCATGCTGGTGGCATGGATCACTGAGAAAAAGTCACATTTTAGAGTTAAAAAAGCCACCAGAAAGCAAGCAGGCAATGGAACAGAGCAACTCAGTCCCAAACTAAGAAAGGCTTCACGCTTAAAAGAAAGGTGGAAAGGGATGACTCACTTGTTAAGTAGATTTTAAAAGGAAAACACATCAAAATAGGTATCAGACCTAGCTAACCAACTCAAGCACACTCCAACTAAAGCCAGCCCAAATTACCAGCATGCTTCACTAGTTTGTCGGCTTTATCCATGCCATAAGGCACCATGCCTTTTGTTTGGGCATTTACCCAAACACAGCCATCCAGCTGTGTCGCTGCACAGCACAGGTAGTAGCCTTCATGAATTCCTTTCAGAGTTAATAAATTTAGCACAAAACAACTCCCCACACTGGGTTTCCCAGCCACTTCTTGTATGCTTTTTCAGTTTCAGCCGGAACTCATTACACCATCCCCCACACTGAGGAAATCTCTGCCCCAGCTGTCCTTGCTCACCCTAAGTCACTCCAGCCGTCACAGCACTATGCAGCCATCCCTTTAGAGACACCCCATCTCCCTTCCACCCTGCCTTCCCCCAGCAGACACCTCCTCCTCCTCTCCATATTCTTCCCCTCCCTTCTGGCTCTACCTCCTTTTCTACCCTCTTACCCCAATTATTTGTATTTCCTTGTTTACCCATAATTTGCAGGTTACCCATCTGCTTCAAGACAGCCTTTCCAGAACCCAGAAAGCACACCAGAGGAAAAATCCAGACTCTGGAGCATTTCCTATGCTCATTGCAGCATACCTATCCACGATTAACTATAAATCTTAAAATTCTGTATTGCACTTGTACAAGAAAAGTTCACATATGCCCTTCATAAAAAAGAGACAGAGAGATGTATTTAGTGTTACTCTTTAAAACTCATTACTCCAGAGGGCATCAAGCAAGCAACACAATGAAAACACAGTATCAGAAAGCCCATAGATGCAGTGAGTGAGTGTACTGCAGACCTCCAGTTCTGCCCTGTCCTGACCCACTCAAAGCCTCCACTGGCTCTGGGAAGGGCTCAGCTCAAGACCCCGGCTAGGACAATGCACAGGCTGTGCTCACACACCTTGCACGCAGGCTGCATTACTCCTGCAACACTCAATTCTGACTCTGAGGGAACAATCAACTTTATCTACATAATTACCCTCGTACAGTAGAAAACAGCAGCAGTTCAAATTAAGAGTGTTTCCCATAAAAGCACTGCTTACTCTCAGCCTGCACCTCAAATTCATGGGGTTGCTATGGTCCACATCACCGATTCAAACGCGTACCGCACTACGCTGGGTGTGAGTGGGAGGGAAGGGCTCTGAACTCAACCCACACACCACCTTTTCCTCCTGGCTGACCAGATCCTTTGAGCATTCTGGCAGCAGGAACAAAACAGAGTGCGAATAACCCGAGGCCTCACTCCAGACCATAAAGCAGAACCTAAACTGCACAACAGGCCACCTGGAAAAGCCTCAGTGGGCTTGTTTGGTTGTTGGTTTGTTGTTGTTTTGGTTTTTTTTCCTAAAGGAGGAAATTAACAAAATCTACCATGAAAAACATTGAACTGACCCGCTAGAAGTTCTCTATGTACCAAGCGACTACCACTTCCTCACAGATGTTTAATCCCCCTCCCCCCACCCCATGAGACACCTCAGGATTACACCTTTAAAGGACCAAAATGCATTCCAGCACATCTTTAGGCAAAGGGATCCCCTCACCTTTTTTTTTCCTTAATGGGTATACAACTTTATCTTTAAATACTGAAATAAGAAAGCCTAAGTTTTAAACAGATTTAGAGTCTTAAGCATAGGCCTCAAGAGTCTTACCAGTGGGAAAGTGGAGTTGTTGAATAAATTATTTTACTTGGATTAGGAGGCTTTCTAGATTAGCAGGATGAGCTACTTTATGTTCACCACTTCTAAAGAGGTCCACAGAACACAGCTGAAAAGAAGCTCATTCTTAGGGAGCTCAGATGCACCACCCTGGGACCTGCTCTTCCACTGGAAAGGCTTAAAAGACACATACATCATTGGCTTGTGGTTTAAAAGAAATTTAGTCCAGTATGAGATACAGCTTGAGAATAACTCATTCCCCCCCCCTCCAAAGTAGCCTAATAAAAGGAAGTTGACATATACAACACCAAGCAGGACTAGAAAACACGCTGCATAGTTTTAAATATCTGAGAGAATCGAAACAGACTGGAAAGCACTGAAGTCATCCCAGCTTGAGTGCAGTGAGTGAATTTTGTGCCATCTGGCCAAGCCCAGAGAGGAGAGCTGATAAAGACTGGGAACGTAATGCAAGACAAGATGGCTTAGTTGCATTCCACAAGATCTAAAGACATATTTAAAAAAAAACAAAACAAACACACCACCACAATACTGAATTGATTTAATTTCTCAACCTCTCTGTATTGTAATCAAAAACTCCAGTGCTTCAGTAAAGTACATGTTAACTGATCAGACTCTAATATTCGTTGGATGTTAACCTGTTCAGCACGTGATCACACCAGCAGGATTTCACAGAATTCAACAATATCCTGGAAACTGTGGATTACAAAGCCTCATAAACTTTGTCAAATTCATCAGATGGCCCTATTCCAGACTCAACAGGCCCACTTTACAAAATTTTGCTTTAAAGCTCGGTTACATTTTTGTGAAAGACAGCGGATCTGCATTTAGGATTAAAAAGTGGTAGAAGTACAAGTGTTGCAATGAAGAGTTAACTCAAGTCTCCACAGTGGGATGTCGTGTAGACAGGTAATCCTTCCTCGTGCAAAGGAAAATTTGGAATTATGCACTTTCTTCATACAGGCCTGTGCACGCACCAAAAGACACCGAGAGATTAGAAAAGGGTGAAAGAATCCACGG